TGCTGGCCTTAGGAAGATATTTCTTATGAAGTCCAATTATTAGAATCAAATTATTTGGCATTATTAGAATAAAGCCATAATGGTTTTGAATAAGAAGAAGATAGGAAAAGAAAAGGATAGAAAATGAAAACTCTTGCACTGTACTCTGTACCTGAGTCGCAGCGTGCTCTAGGCTCCCTCGCGTTTAGGTGACAACAGATACAGCTCATGCAGAGAAGGATCAAATAGTAAGTACCTGATAGTTACCTCCAGGCTGGACTTGGGACACTTAAATATGGCTTAGGACTGATAGAAGATACTTCAGGGGACTGTCCCCTCCACTCATCTGAGAAATACAATCAAATTATTGATATTTTTAAAAATAGGAGTGTATATATTAGAGACAAGAGAGGAGAGTTTATATTCTAGTCTTTAGCTGTTCTTTTTTAAGATATGCTCTCTTTTGTTGCTTTTGTTTTTTCCTAAAGGAATAATATGTACTGTGACACGATGGAGGGGGGTGTGTGTGTGTAGGCTGGAGCAGTATATGTGAAGAGGTRGTTCTCTAGCGCCTCGGGAGCTGCGGGGCCACACTGGTTGGGTCTCGCTGCTTCCTGGGCACCAGCAGCGTGCTCTGCTTTGCCCGTCCCGGTGGTCGGGCCGGCACCATCAGCGGTGCCGGCGCGAGAGGCAGGGCGAGCCCCTGGAAAGCAGCGCTGCGGAGCCTGCAGACTGCTGCCCCTCGCTTCTCGGGGGCTCGTTGGAGGGGCTCTCGTGGGCTCATCTCTTGTTTCGGTGTGTTTTTTGGTAGATTGCCACCAGGAGAGAGGAAGCAGGCAGGCATGCTGCACATATGGCATTGTTGTTTGGAATCTGCAAGTGCCTTTGGGCAAGCAAGGAAGTGCGTCAGGCAAGGTCTCCTCGTCCATGCGTGTGCTGAAGAGCTTGTCATCCATCAGGCCAGGGCAGCTTGCCACCAGACTGTGTGTGCGTGTTGGGCGCGTTGCGTATTTCTAAGGTAGGAGCTACTGCTCACTGGTTTGGCCCTGCTCAGGKGGCCTTTCTTTTGCCACCCTCAAGAAGAGATGGGCAGCAATCATGTTAGCCCTGCAGGAGAGGCAGGATAGAAGGTCTCCTGTCTTGCACAGATACTCCATTGCCAYTAAGATGTTTGCAGATAGCCACCCACTTTTTTGTTTGCTGTTGCCTTTCAGATAGGCCTGAATCACCTGTGGTACAGAGATTTTTCAGATTGGAGACCCTCCACTCTCTTCAGCTAAATTAATGCAATTTTTAAGTGCAATATGCAAAAAATTGTCTTTTATTTCTGGACAMCCTAGTCCAGAAATACAAGGGCTCTCTGCCCATGAATACTATTGCTCACGTATAGTCACTGCCAGCAATAACCTCCTTCCCATCACAGACTCCTATGCTGCTTAATTAAATAACAAGATTTTAATTTTAAACTTCCAGTTTCCTCATTAGATTAATTTTTTTCTTGAATTTCTCACCCCAGTTGTTCCTCATTCTTTTTCCTAAAGCCTCACTGTTGATACAGAAGGTCAGGTTGCACACACAAGAGGTGAGAAGGCACTTTTTAAAGAAGAAACATTTGTGACTGTTCTTCATTCTCTGTGTAAATACAATGGGATTCATCTCTTTCTTAGTGCTCTGATGACCTGTAGCCCTTTTGAGAGTCCTCAAAATTGCTGTAGCTGTTTTCCTTCTTACTCCCTGTAGCTAGAGCATCCTCTTCTGGAATTGGCTTGAGGCCATCAGAAGGTGGTGGAGGCTCACAAGGAAAGGCAGCAGCACAGCCACTGCAGAYACTACTACTATTATTTAAAAAAAAAAATCTGTTTTCAGTGCATGCTTGCCATAATATAAATGGCCTCTCTTTAAGTATTTCATGAGTAGTGCTGCTGTTTTTTTAATTAAAAAAAATAAAGACCTTGAGGGAAATAAGTAGTGAACAGGTACCATGAAGTACAGTGGCAGTGTCCCTAAGCATGTGTCACATACTTGCCGTGTTGTCATAACAAAACAATACAGGCTGCACAAAGACATTCCAGTCATCTCTGAGCCTCTCGGATGATGGTATCAGTATTTTTCACCTGCCATTTTTTTAAAGACTGAACACAAATGTATTGACCCCATGCATAATGTAAAGGATGTAAGATGTACTTTGGAACAGTGTTTTTCTTTCTTCTTGAACCTAACTCTGGATGCTTTATGGATCTTCAGTTTGCTTTGGATTTTGATCCTTTGAAGTGACTAGCTCCGAGTTTGCCTCTGGATGTGGGTACACCCTGTTATAGAAATAAGGATGGGCATCAAATGCTTGTATAGATGCAGGTCTAGATTTTTTTTTTTTTATTATTTTGTAGCCGTATTTCATACCTATGCTTATATAAGAGCTAAAGCTCTTATTATAAGGAATAACAGGAATTCTCTGCATATACAAAAGATAACTAAACCTGTAATTCAGWATGAAGCTTTCATGACCTGCTTATGTAGGTCAAAAACTCCAATGTTCCAAATGCAAAAGTTAAGTCCTAAGRTATGTTTCCTCCAAGAATATAGTTCTTTTGTAGTGCTCACCTATAAGAATGGGTATTCATTTTCTACAGATAAATGGTGAGACAGCCTTTATATTTTGCACTGTGGTTAATGTTTTCCTGTGGCAGCAACTTCCAGATAAATCATTTCATTTAGTCTTCCCTTGTTCTAATGTTTAAATGTGCAAAAACAGACAGATGTTTTCAACCTGTCTGTTCAACATTGTTCTATTTTTATCTAGAGCAACCTACATCCTATTCACCTCCTAAAGCAGTGATGAAACTATAGTCTCTCTCTCTCTCTCTCTCTCTCTCTCTTTTTCCTCTCCTTTCTTTTCTCTTGATTTTTTTAAAATGATTTTAAAATGATTTAACATTTCTTTATTTCTACCCTTCTCTGCACCTCCCACTGTTGTACGGGCAATTTCCTGAGAGAAGTGATCAGTATGAAAATGGTAAAGTAGAACTTAACTTCACCTCTCCTGTCTCTCACAGATAATATTACACCTTCCCKCTATCCCCATCCATATGAACTCTAATACCTTTTCTTTGGTTGTTGTTTCTTATGGTACCCAGATCCCCTTTGTGGTCCAGTACAATATATTTAGACCCCTGTGGGGTTCAGCTCTCATGCCTTAAAGTATATTGCCATAAACTTACCTGCCATGAAATTCATCTGTTCTGGTGCTCACTTTCTTGTGTGGTTAGACCCATGCAGCCCCATAAAGACACCCAAGACAGCTGTGAGCAAGCGGTTCTGCTGGGAGCGGGRTTTGTTAGAGACGGAGCTATTGTGTGCGGCTTAGTAAAGCTCTCCCCAAGACTCAAACGAGCTYGGGGTGCAGTGAAGTGCTCCAAGAGTTCTGGCAGCGGAGCAAGTCGAGCCCTTTCGTGTCTCCTCTGCCCTTTTGTTTCTGGTCTCTGYGCTCTGAACCACTCGTCTGAGCCTGTGCCGCGCGTGAGCCTGTGGAGAGCCGCRTGGTGTGGGAGCGGGAACGCGACGCGTGCGTCCCGCTGCTGGCGCCAACGCGTTTGGCAGCTCGGTGGTCGCGAGCTCGGTGAGGGCCGGGCCCTGCAGGCCGCTGCGCTCGCTGCCCCGCTCAGCCCCCTTGCGCGTCACCTCCTGCCTCGCGTGAGGGCCTGCCCTCTCCGCGAGCAGCTCTGCTTCCCGGATCCTGCCGCTGGGCKTGAAGCTGCTGTTGGCCTTTGGCCACGACAGACAGGGCCGCCATTGGCCTTGTGGCAAGTTCAGTGATTCATTGCTTCAGCAGGCTGGTTTATGTTGTTTGTACTGAACCATTAAACATTGCCATCCGTGCAGGAGGTGCCTATATATATTCCATCTCCATGTGAGGAGGAACGCCTTCACTGTGAGGGTGACAAGAGTGCTGGCACAGGCTGCCCAGGGAGGCTGTGGAGTCTCCTTCTCTGGAGATCTTCCAAATCCACTTGGATGCCACCCAGTTCCYCGTGCTCTGAGTGTCCCTGCTCGAGCAGGGGGTTGGACTAGGTGATCTCTAGAGGTCCCTTCCAACCTCAACCATTCTGAGACTCYATGATATAGGGTAGGAAGATGTACTGACTTAGCTGTTACTGAAAGTAATACTGCCAAAGTCCCTAGTGGGACATTGTGAGTAGTTTTCCAATGCTGACTGTGTAAAACCTCTCCTGGAGAAACCATTGCAACTCTGTTGGTGTATAGGCCAGATCTCTAAGGGGTTTCATCCCATGATCCATTCTGCAGATACTGAAGATTTTAAGGCACAAATAAAGTCAGGCTTTATAAGTACATTAAAATCAACAAGAAGAGTCCCTAGAGTGACAAGAGTCAATCAGTGATGACAAATACTTTYCACTTGTTAGAAATACATATCAGGGCTGAATCTCAATACTTCAAATACTTTTAATTAAGCTTCACAAGCCTTTGACATGTCACACATGGTCCTCAGCTATCAGAAAATGGAGATTAAAGCTGACTAACAATATTTAGGAGAACTATTTGTTGGAACTGGAAACAACAGTAAAAGACAACTCCTTCGTAAATGCTTAATACTTAAATACTTAAAAACAAATACTTAAGCAGGGAAACAGTCTCCCCAGGGGCTGAAAATMCTTCTGCTATGTACTCAGGAGGAAGATAGGGAAAGCAATGACTTGCCTTACTGCTAATTCCATTTAAATAATGGATAAATTTGGGGAAAATTTAATCTCAAAAGTAGCGCACTGGTACAGTGATGGGACTCTTGTTGCCTTTTCAAACCAGAATGTCCTCAGCAACCTAAGGATGTGTTTTCCATCCAGCAGCTCAACCAAAAACTTTGGACAGTACATTTTATTATTATTATTATTTTATTAGTTGTCATTCTTTGACATGATGAATACTTACAGCAGTATGTTAAAAAAGATACAGTTAAGTCTCTTGGCATCACTGCATAGCAGTCACAGCATTTTCACACAATCTAGTGCTTCCTTTCAGAATGATGCATATGGCAGATATACGCACATATGGGGGCTGGTTCTTGGTCCCAGTGCAGTTGGTGGGACCACTGTTTGGCCCATAAAGTTGTGTAAGATATGTGAATGTGTATATATAAAATGCTTTACAATAAACATGACATATACAATCTTGAATTCAAAGAGAAGCAGAATATATTTTACATCCAAGTCAAACTTGCACTCTGCATTTAAAGTTTATGTACCTAAAATATAGGGTGGCTTATAGAAACAAAGAATAGAATAATARCTTGCACCAATCGAAGTATTTTGGATACATGTTCTTGGCATGAAACGTGCCCTCTTTTTTGGTGCTTTTTTTTTTATTTTGGGAGGGGGTGGGGGCGAGGGCAGGATTTGCAGGATCGTGCTTCATATTGAAGCATAGATTCTGTGGGGAATGAACTAGGGATGGTGAGGACACAAGATGGAGTGCTTTAGAGATAGCTTAATGGAGTGACTTAATTATAAGGCTATAAATTATGGCCTGCACTCTGATACCTGATAATTAGAACCAATTTAGTGCTTCTCCTTTCCAAGAAGAGCTGATTTGGAAGGAGCTGATACCTGTTGAAAACTTTAATAATAGAGATCAACTGCAGACTACAAGATTTAGTAAGAGAGCTATGCAGATAGAAAACCGGCTTATTCTGTTCACCGTGGTAGCAGCCTTCTCAGCGATCAACTGAGAGACCTTGCTTTTCTTTATCAAAACCAGGAAGTTATACAAAAAAAGTCCCGCATTTTAGCTTAGTTAAGGCAGCACTGCAGAGCATGTTTCCTTCTGCCATTCTCCATTCATACTTCCATCATATGTACGTTCCCACTCAACATCAGCTACCCCCCTCTCTCCTCTGCATCTACAAAGTACAGTCCTGTTTCCCCCCATATCCTTATGGCTGGTGACTACAATGCTGACCTTCAATACCCCCAGGACAGGTAATACCTTTTACAAAAACACATATCTAAAAGTTCCACTTATTCCTACTTTTTTTTTTCTTTCCAACACACAGAATTCCCCTCTGGAGGTATGAAATCTGCATTTAGAGAAACTGGGTTTTAATCAAGTGAATTCTGTTTGTGTGGTATATCTGAGAGCATTTTTAGCCTCTTGTTCTTAGCAGTTTTCTGCTTCCTTCATTACATATATGAAAACCTAACTCAGTTATAAAACTTCAGGAACTGTTAGCTGCATAGACCCAGCAGGAAAGAGCAATAATTTGCACATTCTTTAAAATGGTTGATAGGGCTGGTGGGGAATTAAATATATTTTTTTCRTCCTCCATTCTGTCCCTCTAGTGTTCTGTTGGGGAGAAATCCCAGTGCAGAAATGTTCTCCAAGCCAAACACYGTAGATGTGTCACATCAGCATATACTGAACRTTGGTGCTGTCAAATGGGTTGAGTYGGGTGCAGTTTGGCTGCCTCTGGAGCCAGCCCAAACCTCTTCCAAGCAGTGTTTCACCAGACAAGGTCACTGAAATCTATCAAGTGTGTTCAGACACAAACAGTAAATCCTCTGTTCTTTGCAAAATTGTTCTTAAAATGTTTATTAGGAAGTTTTGAGTTGGTGAGCACTAACTTTTGATGCCTTCAGAGGCTGTAATTACACAGAAGGTCTTGGTGGTACCGCAGCTGTAAGAGAACTCACTGGGTATGTGCTGAATTCTCTCTACTTTCTGGAAGCCCCTCAGAAACAGCACAATGATGTGTCTGTCAACAGGCTTTTATGCTCCTTAAACGCCAGGTTTGCTTACGTAAAGCCTCAGAATATTTTTTAAAAAATTCTTTGAACTTGATGGAGGCGACTTCCACTTTTTAGCAGGAAGGAAATGCTGTTCTTTTGTTTGTACCCAATGTGCTGCCTACACGAGTTACACTGTTTGTTTTGCCTTCCAAATCTGTCAGGAGAAAGAAAAAATACACCTGAAAGGCTGTGAAATGGTGATGCTCCCACTCCCACTATCAGGTGGTTAAAAAGGCATTGATGTCCTGTAGTTAGAAATAATTTTATTCTTCTAGAACTCCCTCCCTGTGATTGTTACCTGGTCTCGCAGTACTTTCAATTTGTGAGTTCCCTTTAAAGAGGTGAGGAGGAAGGAAATTCTCTACTGCTTGACAAAATAGTCTGTAAGTTGGTAGAAGAAAACCATTTATCTTAATATAACTCGTGCTTACAGTTGATGTCCACCTAGTTCATTGTGTGTCAATACCTTTTTCTGAAGATACCTCTCTTCTGTGAATTAGAATGAGTAGAATCTCCGTGATTTTCATTTTCCTCTAAACATACCAGGCACCTCATAAGAATGAAAACTTTGTCTAACCCAGGCAATCCTCCTTGATTGAGAAAAATTCCACCACTTCTTCTCTTGCGCTTTTATGAACAAATATAATCTTATTTTTTTTTCAAATGCAAACTTAAAAAGTGTTTTCCTTTTGGTCTCTCCAAGGTAATCATTACACAAGATAATTATATGGCAGCAGGTGCTATTTTTGTTGGAAAATAGCTATACAGACTCGATATAGTGGAAGTTCATAACAACGCTGTGCTTTAATATGATTTTTGGGGAGTGGGGAGTAAAGGGTGCAAACACTTGGTGCAATGCAGCAGTGCTCATGAAAGCCATCCCATCAAAACTGATGGAAGCTTAAGAAAAGGTGTGTAAAGAATATCTGAACTGAGGTTGTTTATGGCATAACTAAGGCCATGTATCTTTCAAAAACACCAGGACATAGAAACTTCCTCAGCTATTATAACAGTGAAGAGATTTTGCTTAACAGATTGGCTACAAAAGATTTTTTCTTCATTGAGTGAGACTGATCTGAATATCAGATGGATTTTCTTTTTAAATGAAAATAAAAATAGAGGTGCATTTAGAKGCTGCCTATGTAAGAAGGGAAGGTATGGAAAAATCACCTACGCTTCAACATTGCTCAGGAAAACAACTGGATTTTAGAACAACTAGATGTTGTGCTTAGCAGATCACTACGCTAGTTAATAAAGACTCAAACTTGTGAATAAATGTTAATCAGGTTGAACTGTCAAGTGACGTGGTGGTGCTGTGTGGTTTTGCTTTGTTTAAACTGAGACTTCAGGCTCTGTGAGGCATTTGCCCAAACTGGCCGTGCAAGGTGCCATGGATTTAGCAACAGGGACTCACGTGGAATGCGTCTGAAGTTTTTGGGAAGGTGTCGTGCCAGCCTTCGTTCCGAGATGACCTTGGGCACACCTTTGATAGTGGAAAGGCAGTTCAGAATYGTATCTTGTGATAACATGATTTTGGCAGCTATCAGAAGATGAAGGATGTTAGAAGTTAAGGCTTTTATCCACAAATGATGGTGTATATTAATAAACTCTATACCGTATTTACAAATGCTTTCTCTTGTATTAAAACTAACAGTATTCTGTTCACAGTGCCAATGTTTATACAGGTAGCAATCCCACAGTACTCCAGTATTTTGGCATGGGAATCAGTAGCGCTTTGTATTTACAGAAAATGTACACATATGAATATAAACATGTTATTTGAAACAGTACTTAAAAGATAGATCTGTTCATGTTTCAAAGGTTTAGACTGTACAACACCTTCCCCTTCACTTGCGAGGGAATTCTGTTCCTTGCAGTGAGAAGATGCCAGTCTTTTATCCAAAGTGGCATAAAAATGATTACCAAAATGAGCTTTGTTACACTGGAGTTGTGTATACGAAGAGCAACTTCAGTCCGAAGTTTTTACGTTGGTGGTTTAGTGCACAGAATACAAAAGTTAAAAAGGTTTTGTTTTTTGTTTGTTTTAATTACTAAAATAACCGGTCTGTCTCTGCCCTCTGCGAGCGCCGTCTTGCTCAGCCAGTGTCCTCTGGATTTTGAAGATGCTGGTGGCTTAATGTGCAGCCCAGCTGCCAGACTGGAAAGTGGAGGGTGCTCAGGGCCTATGTACATATGTCACAGCATGACTCATGGTGAATGGAGAGAGAACGGAGAGCGCCGTTAGCTCCCCCGGTCTCTCGGGCCTCCTCCCCGCTCAGTGGCCGCAGTCGCCGGCCTGGCTGGTACCGGCACCGCTGAGCGGCCCCGCAGTCCAGGGTCACAAGTGACAAGTGGCTTCAGGCAGACGCAGAGCGAAGGGGGAGAGCRACAGGAAGGAGATCCGCGCTGGGCCCCGCGGCAGAGCCATGGGTTTGTTCGTGACACCCCTCGCACAGCCCTCCTCGCTGTTTCTTCTCCATGTTCTTGCCAACAGGCTCCCTGGCCTCTTGGGATTTTGTTTGCTGCTATGACCGAGACAGAGATAGCAGTGCTCTAAGGGAAAAGTGCAAAGCTGCCACTAAGGCGTCTCTTCTTCATTGAAAGTCTGTTCTTGGCTGCCAGTCACTTGACCTGAGTGGTCGCTGCTTCTGTTGCTGCTGTGCTGCTTGTGGAGCAAACTTCTCCACTTGGCCTTGTTCCTCCTGAGATGGTTTAGCATGTTTTCGGAGAGGGGGGTGTCTCCTGTAAACTGGGCCCACCTCTCAAACAGTGGCTCTACGATGTACGTCATGAACCCTGGGGAATCACACAAAATAAGGCAGGTCAGGGACAAATCCGTTCACTGGGCRCGTTTCCCCACGGAGTGGTGGGGCACGGGAACGCGGCAGCGTAAGCAGCAGAAACCCTGACGCGATAACGAGAACGCCACACGCAGCCCTTAACTCTTGCASACTTGACTAGTGCACGTGATAAAGACAGGGATCTATCTGCATGGATAACAGTAAAATCTGAGAGAGAAATTCCTCAGATTCTTCTCTCAGGGAGAAATGGCATCCTTCTCTCACAAGGTTTCAGATCAGATAGTTATCTATATAAAATCACATGGGATGGCTATGATTTTTCTTTACAGATATAAGAATGACCTCTCCCCCCCCCCTTTTATTTTTTTTAACTCTTATGAAACCTTGGATAGGTTTCCTGTTTGAATGTTTTTAGAATGTGAATCGTGACTATTACAGCCAGGATCTAAGCTCTGCCTCAATGAAATTATTCAATAGGCTCACTCTAATTAGATGTCCCTGAACCAAAAAAAAGAGCAGTTACCTGCAATTTTATTTTTAAAACAAATTATTTTTAAGACTTTTTTTTTTTTTTTAAAGTGGACACTGTTTTTAGCATCTTTTAGCATGTTTTACTTAGTTGCTCTAGTCAGTTAGTTCCTTAGCTGTGGCTGTGAATGGGAGAGCTGAGAGAGATTATAGTGAGTTGGAGCCCTGTAAAGCACCTAAGAGGCAGGGATGATCATCGCAAAGGCAGTGAGTGCTGCTGTAGCTATTCTGCTTCCTAGGACACTGCTTGCTGGACTTGCATGAACCCATGGACTTCTGCACTGCCCTATTTATATATATATAACACACCTCTATCTATTTACAACCTTTGTTATAGATAGCTGTGTTGTAGATGCCTCTTATACTGTAGACAAGACTACAGACCACAGACAAGAATAGTAATTGAAAATTGTATGCTGGCCTTCAATAGCAGATGAGAACTTCTTTGTGCCAGAAAGGTTTGTCTGTTCTAACCTAATGGGGAATGGCTTTTACACTGGGATGCTTTTTTACACAGCTCCCTCTAGAACAGCTATTGTGCACTTATTGGTTTGTATTTAAGTAAACTGTTATTAAAATGACTTTGATGATAGAAGAAAATAAATTGAAATAATGCTTTTCAGATTTAAGCTGCCATACGATTTCAACAAGAAGGAGCTCAGGAAGGGAATGTTTGGAGACAGAATTAGAATTTGGCTGCTGTTCCATTGTCGTATGGGGATAAACTACGATGTAGCAGGTTTATCTGCAAATCATGATTCACTTCTGTCAGCAGGTTGCYACTGATGCTGTAACCTTAATGCACTTGGATTTATATAACTCTGAARTGACCGGAAAGGCAGGACACGGACAATAAAATTGCTGTCTGGGGCTTGCAGCTAGAGCTAGGGCCTGTGTGTGAGGTCTCCGGCGCCGCTCGAGACTCCTCTTGGGAAGAGTTTGGGTCCAAGGCAAGGCAGCTGGGATGGGCAAGCCTGCTTCCCTTACAGTAGTTTTGTACTGTCAGCTGTGTTTAGCTCCTCTGCAATGTAGCTTCTGTCACAATGAGCTAAGTTTATTTGTGGATGAAACTTAGGTTTTAGAAAGACTTGTTTCAGTTTGGTTGTCTGAACTTAGCTACACTATATTTCCATTGCAGATGATATCGGTGTAGTAAAATTTCACGTTGGTTAACCTAATTTGATCTCTGTGGCARAGTGAATCTCTTTTGCTGAACTTAAAGCAATCACATGAGGAAAAAAATCATGATTATTTATTATTGGATGATTTATTTTAACTCATTGCTTCTTCCTCATGCTTTTCTGGCAAGGGAAAAGGAAGATAAACACTTCAGCAGCAATTGTTCAGTTGTGAGACAAGGACATTTCATGGTTACCCAACTGCCTAGTTAACATACTATACATATGGTATAAAACTGCAGATGCATTTATGAAAACACAAATTACAAACTAGCTACTAGGCTGCTGAAATCATACTGCAAACATTGCCCTKGGATCACTGCTCCATGCTCATCTGCTGTCCTGCACATGGAGGCTGTGGGAATGCCAATATGCATGAGAGCAGAGGAGAGAAACCTTGTGCTTAGTGCTCTAAAGGCGGTGAGTCCATCCTGAGACAGCTAAAGTATTGGAARAATACGGAAAATTAGAGAAACTGGGATCCTGACTTGTTGATCCAAAATCTCCAGAGAACTACTAAGGAAGCCAARAAGCCTGAAGGCTCTTAGGATATCACATTATTTCTTTATTTTTCCTCTCCACTGGATCATGAAACCTGCAGGAGAACTAGATTATCGAGTGTTTATGAAGAATCTTCAGGGACTGGACAGAGGAAATAATGGTGACACTAACTACTTTAAATTGGAATTCTTTATTGCAAATTCAACAGTTTTGGAAATTCTTTCCCTCATCATCCCATATAGTCAAATTACTTCATTAAAACAAGCTTGCAACTGGCTSATTATCTCTTTGAGTCAAGGTCATGCTTCGCCTCATAAGTAAGGCAGCAAGGAGTCAATCCTAGATCAAACGTTCTGGATTCACAAAGTTGACCTTGGCTGCTAGTTTACTCGGCTTATGTGGCAGATGGATTTTGTTTCATCACATATCACATTTCAGTTTCTGCTTGAGCTTGTGCCACACTGGGATAAACAGAGTGATGGAGATAACAGAGGGAAACTGGTGCTTACCAATTTGTATGCTTGGTATTGTGTCCTTCTGCTGATTACAAAGAGGGCTTATGTCCAGTTCAAATTTTTGTTCCAGGTCACCTACAAAAAAAGAAAATAATTTGCTGCCRCTTGCATCTCTTTGCATTAGCTTTGTGAGACTGCAGCCACAGGGATCCAAGCAGTTGGAATACTGCACCAACAAAGACTACATTAAATGTCTGAAGGCCTTTGTTTTGCAGACCCTCTTCTTATTTATTTAAATTTGGGTTATCAGAGGAACCAATTCATCTTACTATGAAAAATATGTCCTAGGAGAGGTAACTTTTGAATGAACATTAAATCTTACCACTTAGGTATTTTGAGGACTTTAATTTTCAGAAATATTTTCTCTTACATGAGAAACATTTCCTGTATGTTTTAGGACATTCTAGTTTATTTACTTATGGCTCAAATGTGCTCCTAGAAAAAAAKGCATAAGTATGTGTTTCAGAAACTTTCAATCTCCATTAGTACTGCAGGGTGAGCTGTTAGTGTGTGCCTGTGGTATCAGGCAATTGCTGCTAAAGGGCAGCTTGCTGGAGCCTGGCACTTAGTCTGTGTCTCACTGCACACTCAAACTAACCAGAGCCAGGGCAAGGGCTTGAGCAACAAAGGCTCACGCATCAAGAGCTGTGGAATTGAAGTTATAAACACAAATGAAGATAAGGAGCAAATTGTTTGCCTTTCAGTTGTGATATTGCTGAACATCTGGACTGGGAACTGAAAATATTAATTCCCTGTCTGGTCCAGGAAGTCCCCAGGGAGTCATCTGCCCAGGACTGATTTGAGACAGGAGATGGAYCTGAGACAACATATTTGGCTGAGCTGCTGCCCCATCCGCAACCCAGTAGTTGACCAACTGGAGCAGGTGGGCTCCAGATGCGAACCTGGGGCTGCTGTGTATGAGCAGAGTGGTGTCTGGAGGCAGGRAGCAGCCTGTGAGAAGTTGGTGCTCCAGAGCCTGCTTCAGGCCCATCCTGATGCAGAGGTGACCAAGCTGTAAGCATCTCTCTGAGACTGAGATTGTTCCTGCAGGGGCGCAAATGGGCAGGCAGGACAGTGTGTTGCATGCAGCTAAAGCAGCTGGGAGATGGGCTGTGTGTAGCTGAAGACCATCAATAGCAATGGTGTATGGCATTGCTGCTGTGGTGAGAGAAGACCACAGRGCAGATGAATTCATGAATTCATCAGAGCTCAGGGAGTTTCATTTGCTCCATCTGAAGATGCTCTTGTTCCTTACCCCATCCCCATTAACAGTTTTCACTTAAATGCTTTTGTGCCACACAGGCACACACAGACATGTATAAAATACTACATGCATTTYTAAGCCTTGCCTTCCTTCTCTCTGCAGGATACAACTATTTCACAAAAATATGTGAGGAAGTATTTTTATTTTTAATTAGATATTTAGAAAATATTAGCAAAATATGTAGAGTTCACAAAGAGCCAAAAAGAACAATTCAACAAAAAACAGAGAAAAAAAAATGTCATGTTTCCAACTGTGCAGTTCTTCTGTCTTCTTCCCCCATATTTCCTCCAAAAWTTTTTGACAGAGAAAGTGTCTAACTTTAGTGACATTCCCTCTGTAGATATTCTGGATTCAAAAGGGTTCACCTCTATGACCAAACGTGTCCAAACATCCTCTTTGAAAAAGCCTTTTACAATAGAAAGCTAAGGTTTTCCTTTGCATGGTAAGAACTTAAATTGATGGTCGGTCTTCTTATCTTGCTATGAAAATAACTGCATGAATTAGTTGCTAAGAACTTTCACATTGGGAAAAACCATCCAACCAATGTTAAAAACCCTTTAGAGGTTTTTAACCTGGATATTAAAGGTGTTGAAGCATGAGCCATTTTCTTGAAATTTGTTTCTTGCCAAATCCAGTTTTTATGAACAAATCAAGTTGTATTATTCTTTTTATATGCCTGTTTAACCTTTAAAATGCCCAYTGAAATGACCTAGCTTTAGGAATAATTAAAGATTTTCACTGTATGGACAAAGCCCTGATCACCTGAGACCAAGTTAAAATATTTTTCAGGAAAGGTTTGTGTGAAGAACCCTTGTAGTTATCAGCTTTTCCCTGAAATGTGTCTGACTTGTACATTTTATTTTAGAGCACTATATGACTGGAAGATGAGGATATGAATTTCTTTTACAATGACATGAAAAATATTAACTACAAACAATTTAAAAACTTTGTGTGCGTTAGATAAGGAAGGTCAAGCAAAGCACTAATCACGATGATATCTGCCTAGCCTATAATTAAAAATGACCCTGGTTCTCAGTAGTGCTAATCTCAGTGTCCTGTAATCCTTTTCTGTCAACAAATCACCTTCAAAACTCAGGATCATGTGTAAGGGCAGACAGATCTACAGATCTTTTTCTTTTCATTTTTAAATGAAGACATAATATCTAAATATATATATATATATATAAAAATTACTGAATATAATCTATCACTTAGCAGGATTATGCAGCTACCAGTGATAGTCAGACCACAGCTCTGTATGTTCTCCCAAATCTATTGCTAACTCCTTTTTGCTCATTACAGGTGTAACTGGTCTTGTCTGCTCCAAAATCCCCTTTCAGAGGTCTCTTTGAGGTGAATCTTGAGCCTTGGGGAAAATAAATCTKAAGTTCGTAACGGTCGAGACTGCTGTTTGTTACAGCATGGTCCCTCATGTGGTGGATCTTGATTATGTCTTGATTATGCWTCTGATTAAATATAGCTGCATCTTGCTGTTTGTCCCATGTCACTTGGACAGCATCAATGTCAAAGACACGTCATCAGTTCAAATCAACACTGGCTGATAATTAACTTGCTGGCCTATTTGTCTTTATTTGTTAATGTTATGGTCTATCTGTACTAGCTACCGTCTCAAACGCAGCTTGATTTTGTCATGCAGAATGAGTTTTTAAATGAACTCTGCATTTCGCTTCTCCGGGATTTGTACTACGTGCCTTAGGCTCACAGGATGCTGCTAACAAAGAACTTAGCAGTGATTAAACTCCGCTGCACCCTGCCTGTGTTGTAGCACAGCATGACGTTGCCTATGCAGACAGAGCCAAATGGTGTAATTACTGTGCTTAAAAATAAAAATAAAAAAACCCCAAACCTGCATGACTGAGCTCTCTGCAGGAGTTTGAAAACATTTGCAATAGGTTGGAGCAGAGCTTTGGCTTGCCTGCTTTGGCCCAGTAAGCCATGTTAGAAGAGTTCAGCCTAGCGGGAATCGCGTTCAAACTCCTCTGCATGTGCACCCAGGCGAGGGTGTTATGTGTGGGAAAGGACGAGAGCAGGACTACCCAAGGAATTGTACTTRGTTGGAAAAGCGAGATAAAGCGCAGAGGAGAGGAGAGCGCTGTGGCTTTGCCGCGGTGCCACCATCACGCTGACGGTGACCGGAGGGTGCTCGAAGCAGCGCTGTGCGCCTCTAAACCGGCAAAGCACAGGCAGGCGAGCGCCTCTCTTCCCTCCTTGCTCTTAAATAGCGGTGATCGCCCTGTCTCGTAGCTGTTTTTGGTGTGTGTGGGGGTGAGATGTGCAGGGTGCAGCGGGCTGGACCCGGCGCGGCGGCCCGCGCGCCGGCAGCGCTCACCTTGCCGGTAGAACTCCTCGCAGACCCGCTCGCTCCACTGCTTGCTCAGCTCCCACAGGCGGCACGGGTTGCAGATGTCGGCGCACTTGAGYGCGATCTGAAAGGCAGGGGGAGAAAAGCGGTGGTGAGAGGACAAAATGGCTGCCTAGCGCCATTGTGGTGGGACAGCAGCACAGTCACAACCCCCCTGGGCTTAGAGTGGTGCTGAGAAGGGTTAATATCACCTTGTAGAACCCGAGCCATGCCCAAATGTGCCTTTTGAGGAAAGACCATTTACTTAAGTTGCAAACAAAACTTCCCTTCAGCACTCTGCTTTACTGTAGCGAGAACAAGGGCAGGGCCGCTTTCCAAGGCTGCAAAGCCTTTTGGATATTCCTTGAAGGGAATACGCCAACAAAAGCTCCAGGCTGGCTCCTGCTGACTGCCGGGCTCGGCATCCATCACTGGTGACAGGGAAGGGAAAAGCCAAGCTGCTGTGACACTATTTGGGCATCGTTTCTCTGTGGTCTTGGGGATTGACCTTGTATCTCACTTCAATTACATTTCATTTTAATGTCTGCAAATTTATTTGCAAAGCTGAGCGCGGGGCCCCTTGCATTGCCTCTGGCTTGGTTTCACTTTATTACTTAACACTTTCTAAGTACTTTGAAGGGAATGAGGATGGGAAAGCAGGAGATTTTAAAAATTGAGTAACTGCTTGAGAAAAGCAAACTATGCCAAAGTCTGCCTCTCTTGCTGCCTTGGAACAAGTTGTCATGTGCCTATTTCTCTGGGGACTGAGCCCATTTGGTTAGCTCAACAGAGGGCAGAATTCATTCTGGGATCCAGACAGGAAAACATAAAATATTATAAGTATTATAATATTTTAAATATTATAAGTTGAGACCACCCCAAAAGTTCTTCCAGGGAACTGTCCTAGGCACTAATGCTCTCTGGAAAGTCCTTTCAAATACTATGTAGTAATTAACTTATCCTCATAATCAGTCAAGCTTTTTTGTTTGTTTTCAAATTCTTCCACAACTAATCCACCAAACAAGTGAATATCAGCATTTTTGTGCCCTTAGCTTCTATCTTCAAGAAAGTAAGGAGAGTGTTGTTTTTTTTTTCTCATAGATGAGATCAGTAATCCCTGTGCCTTTGGCATTTGTAGAGCTTTCTTGCTTAATCTGTCAGGAAATATGATAAGAGATCACCCTGCTATGCACAATCCATGGAAAAATCTGATAGAAGACTGTTATGGAGGCCAGTCAGGCAGGTTATTACATTTCCCACACTTCTGGATAGGGGAGATTTAACAGATCAGCACTTCTTTCCTTATTACTCGCACCTTTCCTGTCACCTCAACAAACTGATAAGATGTAGATGTTTGTTTTATAACTAATGATCATTACCTAAACTGTTTTTATGCATTTAAGGGCAAAATTGATGTCTGGTTTCCAGCTTGAACATGCTGCTACTTCAATCACAGTACTTTACACAGTAACATTACACAGTAATGCTTTAACTGGCAGAGGTTTATTCTGAAAACCCTGTTAATGACCACAGTTTAGCTGGAAGAACCAATTTGCATCTATTTGATTTTTAGAATAAAACTTGGTTTCTTCATCATCTCCAACGGAGAAGTGCCTGTTGGCATGATAACAGCTGTCCCTGAAGAGACAGGTTAAGGACACTGATCATAGGGGCATGATTTCCTGATGTCAGGTTGCCTTGGAAAGAACATGGAGTAGGAGACTTTCCAACTTACGACTGCTTATCTTCATTTCCCAGCATTTGATGCTGTCCAGTATCTGTTGCATTCACAGCTTTTTAACTCAAGGAATTTAGTTATGGAAACACTTGCTGACCAGATGCACTTTCTTATGCTATTCCAATGCTTTACTAGGAAATACTGTGACTTGAAAAGTGAATAAAAACAATAGTAGCAAAAATAATTTTGTTACCTGAAGCATAAAATGTCTGTCTTGTGCATCCTCCAGTCTCAAATCCTGATTGTCAAGGTGAGATTTCAGACGGATCAAAAACTCATTCTGTCTATTTATGTCTGTTGCCAGGATTAGGGAACCTAATTGCTGTTCGATATCCTGTCTGCAATTAAAGGAAAATAAGCCCTTTCAGTCATGGAACTGTTGAATGTAATAGCTCAAATCAATCTTCTGAAGATCCCAGCTATCATAGAGCTACTTCTTTCTTTATAGATTCAGTTTGGTTTGTTTGGTAATTCTCTGCTAGGGTCTATTGGTCAAAACTGTTCTAGCTGCCTAAGGAGATTCATGAGGAATAGATAATGTGGAAGAAAAATGCTGTTGGCATAGCGGTTCTGAAAGCTTCCAAAAAGTGCCTGGTAAGTGAATACTCAACAGTGCGATACAYCTAGAAAAATGTTCACATCTTACAGAAGGAGCCTGTATGATCTAGACGACTTCTAGAGGGATATGGAGCTTGTTTCTACTAGCTAACTAGCATTTGTTCTTGATAAAGTCACCTATAAGCTTACTATTGTGGGCTTGTTGGTTGGCKTAATCATTTTGCCAACCTGATCAAGTGTTTTTTTTTTTTTCTTTTTTTTTTTTATCCTTCAAGCTAAAAGATGGTGGAGATTGAATGATGCTTGGAGGCTGAATGATGATGTGTGAAATTCCTGAGCAGCTGAGCAGCCTCTGTACTGCTTGACTAGCTCTTTAATTTTTCTCTCTGTTTGATTTTTTTTTTTATATTACTACATCTTTGCGTGTTTGGTTGATGCTTTGTAAAACCAAAAATGCCAAGAAAAGTTTTTCCTCTGAAAAGTCCCATTTGTGCTGGGATTCCCAGTATCCCTAATGCTGACAGTGCTGTGACAGTGACAAATTCTCAGAAAACACTGCTGCTGCCTAACTGGGCCTAATGGTTTTTGCACTGGCAGCAGGAGAGGGCCTCTGCTGCAGCACCCTTTCCAGAACAGTGGAGGAAGCCACGGACTCGTGTGAGCGATGTGTTTCCTTACGTGACTTCCTTTGGCAGGTGGGCCAGGAGCCGGGACTCTCGAAGCATGCCGATTGTAGACCGCCAGTGGTGATTTTCTAGCACGGAAACATTCTGGGGAGGAACAAGAGAAATAAATCCATGGATGGGGCAGATGCGCAGGGTACAGATACAGATTCACCAGATGACACGACAGCTGAAGCTGACTGGAAYGGCTGTAGCAAAACTGAAGACAATGAGCCTAAAATGCTTGTTTTCAAGCCACCTTTTGGGTTTAAAGGAATTGGTCTAGATTTTCAAAGTTAAAGACACTGTGCGTCTAAGTGTCCTAAGTGACACTGAAGTCCTGCTGTATTATGATTTTTTTGAATTCTGCTGTGAACCGATGAGTTAATCTAGGCTGAGCAGGAGATAGATTACATTCCAGCAGATTTATTAACCAATAAATTAATATTTAATCTATTTATATCTATTTAAGATATAAAATCTTATTTAGCTCATGGTTCACCTTATAGCAATCATAGGCTGATTTCTCAAAAGGATGATAGGTTTGAATGCATATCTAACAAGAAAACTACACTGTATTCTTATTTCCCTTGTAGTCAGGCAACTGGAAGCTCCCTGCAGCTGCTCAGCAAAAGTAATGAGAGCCTCCGTGTCACTGAGCGTCCTGCAGGGTTCAGTATCTTAGTCCACACACACACAAAAAATAATTGGCATTGTTTCTAACTAATTTGAACCAACATTCGGGGTAATCCTAAGGAGGAGAAACACAGCTTTCCAGGGAGTCTGTAAACCATAACTGAGTATCTTGGGTCTGTTGATATCACACTACAAGTTTCTACACTAATACAATGGATTCATGTAAAGGTGAGCAGGCAAATTTGATTGATTTGCCATTATATTTTTGTTCTTTAGTAAATTCTATTGCTCTTTAATTCATGCCATATCTGATAACATTGTTTTGTGCTTTTTGCTTTTTTTTCCCTGTATTTTTTCCTTTTTTTTTCTATTTTATTTCCCTTTTTCTTAATAGAAAACACAGATACTGCAACAAATACACTTTTCAAGCCTGCAAAGACTAAGTCCTTTTCTTTCGAGGATCTGACAGATTCAGAAACTGCTATGCAATGTGTAAATTACTTATGACAGCAATCCTGTTGTGTAGCCAACTTAAATACCTTTCTTTTCCTTTTGCCTAAATATATTAGGATGGACTTTGCACTTTGATCAAACTAAAAAGTGAATATAATGGCACACAATGATGGTTTTTTTCTTCCACCTCCATACTCTGAACTGAATCCTGGTCCAAGTTACCCAAGCTCATATACTGCACAAAGGAAAATCCTGGGAGTACCACCTTCATATCCAAAGATTAATTAGACAAACCTTGCCTGCCTGTCCCCTGTAGCCTTCATGAACTCCTATATTCTTCATATATGGGTTTAGTGCAGTGACTTGCATGCACATTTCCTGTGGCCTTAGGGAGGCCCCAGCCTGACTGCACCAGCCCTTGAGACATCCTCACTGCAGAGATCTGCTATGCAGCAACCTGTGTCCCCTTCCCAAACTGCATGACTTGCAAAGGGCTGCTTCAGTGACTCCTGCCCCAAACACAGAGCAACATTTATATTGTAGCTCTATATGCAACTATATGCAGTTGTTCTAGTTCCCACAGTGACCACTGAGGCTCTGCATTCTGATTTTATTTCTCTTAAGTATCTGAGAAACAGTAAGCTCTCGTGGCTCCCTATTTGCTGCCCCTTCATCATTTTTTGAATCTCTTCATAAAATGCTTTTCCCTGCCCCTCGTGTAGCTTTTTTCCTTAAGGAGTTGCCGAAAGAGAACTTAATAAAAGATTGTAGAAAATCTAGCTAAACAATGCCTACTGGGCTGCCTTCATATTTTTTCCCCTTTCATAATATTGTGGAGTTTCAGAGACAGTCTTCCTTTCTGTATTTCAGAAGCTAGTATACTTTTAAGACTTTAAAATTAAACAGCATCTTATTTATTTAGTTAATTTCCCTGGAAATCAGAAATTGAAGTTGCTGGCATCTCAGGTGATTTGAACAATCAGGTTGTCTTTTGAGTTGCAGTCTTAAGCTGGTATTTGTTGATTACTTGAGAGGTTGTTATGGCAGTATGGGACCTGACATTTTTAGTGTCAGWGTGAGTATTAAATGTTTTCTGTCAAGACAACATGAAAAGCAGACTTGTGGAAAAGATCACATGTGGCTAGCTGAGGAAAACTGAAGGAAAAATGGAGGAAAAAAAAAGAAAAAAGCTAATTTCAAAATCTAAATCATATGCTAAGTACTGATGTTGTTGTTGTGGAGCTGTTTTTCCTTGCCGCTAATGGGATGACTTCTTCCTTTGTTCTCTTACATGACCTCAGGTACAAATGGAACCACAACAGAGGAGTCTTGTGTTTATTCCTATGTATCCAACTCTCTTGGTAGTATCCCCTCCCAACGACCTTCACAGAATATACCGTGTGGTTTGTCCTCACTCTGATATCTAATTCTGTTCCTGTAAACTCTTGCCCTCACTTCTCTCTACCTTCAAAACTCTCTCCTGTTTTTTACTTCTCCTCCCTCTTTCTTGCCCAACTGTTAGGAAGCCTGAATTCTGCTTTATCTCCTAAAAGATGAAAATTTTGAGTCAAAGACCAGAAAATACCACCAGGTGCCAGCCTTTTCTCTTCTGCAATAACAGAATTAAGATGAAACTGCTACCCTGGAGCTCTATGAATTAGGGAGTATAGAGAGAGGGGACTGTCTGTGTGGCAGAAAAGGACAGTAAGGTTAGTTAAGGAAGAAAGAATAAGGAATTGCTTTTTGTGGAGAGGAAGGCTGACTCCATGACAGGCTGTGCAGAGAGGCTTTGAGGGCTGAGGAACAGGTGAAGGTGCTGGAGCTGCATCAAAGAGATACAAAATGATGAAATTTGAAGGTTGGGTGACTTTTGAGAGGCGATACTTTTAGCAGGGATACGAACAGCTCCAGCTCCCAACAGCTACCTCAGCTGCAGGGATATACCGGAGCAGGATGGATCTGGGGACTCTTGCCAATTAAGGTTACGGAGGCACTGAGAAGGGGACATGATATAGTTGTTGTGGGAGATTAATCTCCAGCTCCAGTCCCGGAGTCAGGCTGCTGACCCGCAGCAAAGGCCTCAGCAGTCACTGCTGAAGCCCAAGGCCCGGCATCGTGCGATTCCCACTAGCTCCCTGCGCAAGGAGCAATGTGCCACCTCCACATGCTGGCCTCCTGCCTATTTGGGGACACAAACGCTTCACCTACGTGGCTAGAGGGCATTTTTACTCTTTCTCTCCCTCTGGCTCACCTGTGGGTTTGTCAGCCTGCCRTCCTCAGTGTTTTCTGCTTCTTGCCACGTACAAACTTACTGTGCTGATGCTGACCTCCCCCGGGCTCTGCGCAGAAAACCCGCGCTTGTTCCACGCTGAAGGCCAGCCTTGGGTGCACAGGCATCCAAGAACATTCTTGCAAGCAAGTACTAATCGCTCCAAGGGAAAAAACAAGCTCAGGTATCCAGTCCAGAGTAGTTCCACTTCTGTAACTTTCTGATCTTTGCTCGCTGCTATACTAGGAAGCCAAATCAAAGCTGCTACAGTGTCTGGTTTCTCACACTTAAAAGCACATGGACACGGGAAAAGGAAAAGTCGAGTTAACAAGTGACAACTGAGCGTGAAGTCATATGACACCCCTGCAAGCAGCCAAAATCCCTGAAGCTGTTGGCAGCAATTAGAAGAGTCAACTTTTCCACCCAGGAAGCCTCCTCTGCCTTAGGAAGGCTAATTGCCACTAGCTGCCTTATGTCTTTGCCTGGTGGGGAGATAACCTGTACATCAAAGAGGCTGTGTGATAGTTCGCTAGTGCGAAGTTCAGGCTGGCAGGTTTAGCTTTCAGCTCTGATTTAAAGAGCGTTTGCTTTTTTTTCTTTTTGTTAACTCTGAATAGCATAGGTTTGCTTTTGTGGCTGAATGTTAGGAAGCCTCTGTAGCATCTAGAGCCTTAAATTAGTGGACGGTTACAATACAGACTTCATAACAGGGGGGCAGAGGCGGGGAAATCCATTATTTTTCTTTAACAAACACAAAATCTCCAACCTGTGACTTTCTCTGAACTATCCCCTGGCTCTTCAAACCACTGAGCTGACTGCAGTTGAATATGGGAAAGGGTAATAAGTTGGAGAGAGGAACATTAGCTATTACCTAGATCTAGAGAAAACTGCTATTTTGGGTCACAGGGGATGGGGAACTAGATATCTTGCAATCTGTTTTTCCAGCCTGAGGAACTGAGTACTGAGAATCTACAAGCAAAGGAAATTCAGAGATGGAAATGCAGCAAAAATCTGTCCCTATCTCATTCTCATAGAAGTTCTCATTCTAGTATCATTATACCAAAAGCATCCTTTACCACCAAATAACACGAAGTCACAAAATCATATGGTAATTGGTTTAACCATACAATCTTAAACTCCAGAAAATGGCATTTTAATTAGAAATGCCGCTTTTAAGAAAGACTGCAAAGTATAGCAGTTATAACCGACACCCCAAACCTATTTCTAATTTTGCTTTATATACAGATGTCCTAAAGCTAATTTCATAGATTTCTAAAACCATTTTTTGTAGTACAGACATTGAATGTGATAATTCTAGGCTTATAAACTACTAGTCTTCACTTCAGATCCAAACAAAGATAGAAAATCTTAACTCTCTATTCCTTAAGTTTTAAGATAAAATTTTGTTTATATCAAAGCTATTTCATTTCTTTGGAGATTCATAYTCCTTTCTCAGTAAAATACAGCATTTATTTTTAAGGAAAATGCAACGTCATGATGATATTTTTGTTTGGATAATGGAAAAGCAGGATTGTATCAGGCTGGACAACCTTGTGTAGTACATTGCTTTTATTCAAAAGAAGTAGAAATAATGTTGGATAAGCTAAATCAGAGTTAGAGGTATGGAGAACTTTTAAGTTTACAGAGACCAGTGACTATCCAACAAGAGCACAACTTTTATTTTTTTCCATTAATGACAAATGATGTCTAGAAGCAAAGCCRGCATCACTTAACAAGGAATGTGCTCCTCGTAGAAGGCTAAGTGATTACAAGGTCCCTGATGTCACCTTTTACACTGTCCTTGCAATGCTAGAGACCTGCACGAGGCACTTAGTTGCACTTCTGTGCAAAATTCTGGTTCCTGACATGCAATAGACTCATGTGGAAATATCTTACACTTTACAAAAATGCTTTCTATCCTAAAATAATGATTTAATTTTAAAATGAAGTTAGAATATTTTAAGCTTTTGAGTGATGACACCCATCTTTCTGAAACACGATTCATGAATATACACATATCAGARGCTGTCAATAGCTATAGCTGTAGCTGTGTTGGAAGTTTTAAAAAAAGCACAAAACCCTAGAAAATTTTACCTCAGTTTTAAGCACAAGTTAAAGTTCTAATCTTGAGCAGAATATAATTGCATTTAAGAATAATATCTTACTAAATCTAAAGTTTTCACAAAATAAATCAAAAAATCTCTCCAGCATTGATTTTAAATTTATTAGCATTTATTTACTTAATCTTACTAATATCCCTGTAAACAATTAAACAGAAAATAATTTAAGACAAAAGAACATAGATTGAACCTGCCCTATCATTAACATCAAATATGTCTTGTTATGAGCATCCCTTAATATGATATTTAAAAATTCCACTTACTGTCAAAATACTGTATTTTATTTTTGTCACTTCCTTTCCTAATCAACAATTGAAAGTATATTCAAGCCACGTTAGATGAGCAGGAATCATCTCTCCTGCTCATCTAAGATACTAATATTTCATTTTAGCTGCATCTTTTTCAAATTAGCCTGCATTTTAAACCTAATTATATTTTCCTGTTTCCCACTATTAATTTAACGATGACTTGTTTATGACCATTCAAAGGGCTGGAGTTTATACTGAATGGCTCCATCCCATTCCTTTCTCACACTMTTTCTCTAAGTCCTCTGGCTTTTTTTTCCCTCCACATTCAACTGGCATTTAGAAAAGTCTGGAGCAAAATGCTGCTCCAGACACATATGGGGAAGACTTAACCAAGCGCATCAGCTTGCGGCAAGGCCAGGCACAAAGTTTCAACCGGCTGATCAGTCCTGTGTCCAGGCTGGGGCTCCTGCAACCCTGACCGTATCTGGAGGCAGAAGGACAGCTGAGCTGTTAAGCAATCAACTGCTTATCACAAAACCCAAATGGTGCTCGAGTACGGGAAAATGAGAGAGAATATCATTTCAAGGACACAACAAACCACAGCAGCTCCTTGATGTAACAAGCACATGCAGAAGGTACATAGCTAAGAGTGAGGTTACTTTAGGTGGGCGAGTTTTTAACCTAAATTCTGCTTCTGAATTTTAATCTCAGAATTTTAGCAAAGGCTGAGTTTTACTCTTCTGAAGGCCAGAAATCACTACAATATCTGTGTATTAGTTACAAATTAAGATTCGTGCAATGGAACAATTGTTAGCACACATACAGAAGTATAATGGAAGAAATAGAGACTTGCATATGTAATAATATATACATACACACAAAGATAGGTTCATTACACTGAACACATTTATAGTAATTGCAGATACAATCACCAGCTACAAATATATTTAAAGACTAGGAAAAATCAGTGGAGGATGGGTTCACTAATGGCCATTGAACAAGAGGAGCTGCTCTTTCTTAATATCTCTATGTGCATGTGTGTAAATATCTACAAGGTTACTTCTGGTTTATCTTCTATTTTTCATTAACTGCAGTGTTTAACTTCACTAGAGCCACATGAAGCAAAAGCTTCTTTTAACCTAGCCCCAATTTAGAACGTTCCTGCTGTTTACTTGCTTGCTGAAAAGGAAATACAAACTGTCTTTCTTGGGATTTTAGATCTCCTATCCACATTTTCTTACCCTCGATGCTCCACAATAGAAAAAACTCTTAAAACCACAAGAGAAATAACTGGATTTGGTTTAAATGTCCCTCACAGACACTGGTATTTCCACCTTGTTTCTCAGGTTTATCAGCTTCGCTATGAGAACAGATACCCAATGAAAAGCTTTGCTGAGACCATCGAGACTCTAAAACATAGATTCACTTGATCACCACCACCCACAGTCCACCTCAACTTTGGTATAAAAACATTCACTGAAAATTGCTCTACACATTCACCTACATGATGAGCAGTTTTACCTGGTACAGGCTGGCGAGGTGGTGTTTAGTTTTGATCAGAAAGGGCTGGTTGACCCCCGGATGATCTACATCATGAGCTGCAGCAGCTAGCAGTCCAAGCATGATGTCCAAAGGGGTAAGGAAGTTGGCAAGCTGAATCACATATGTTAATCACAACAAAAACACAAATGGTAAACAGTTTCTTTCTTTTGGCAAATAAACATACCAGCAGACATATCACGACATTGCTTTGTTTTGTGGAAGAGTACACAAGCGATCAAATACAAATAAATTGTGTAAACAATCTCATTGAGGTAACTTGTAGAACAGACTTCTATAAAAATAACAGTCTATACATGCACTGGTACATTTCCTATTTCTCTTTACTGTTCATGGTGCTAGAGAGAAGGTAATTAACAAAAGTCTTGAACTTATTCTAAAAGATTCAGTTTTAAAAATAGAAAACAGTCCCGCTAACCGGTTGGCCTATGTTAGCATATGAGACAGAGCTCTGACATATAAATATTTATCAATACCAACAATCGGTAAGACTTCACTTTCCTACCAAAGCACTGTACTATAAAATGTAGAGAGTTTATAGTTTTCTGAAAATTCAAACTTGGTTGCTAGACACCTCAGTGCAAATAACAGTGTTAAGACAAAACTTAGCTTCCTAACTTCAAATATACAAATTTGAAAGCTTGTCCAGACTCTTTTCTGCTATACAACCTGTGATGAGAAATTAGTAGATGCATCCTACAGATGTTGGAGGTCAGCTGTGCACTGCACTTTTTGACAGCAGGGACTTGCAGATCTTGCAACAGACAGAAATGCAGAAAAGCTGAGGCCTGCTCCTGTCCTCACTTACTGCTACTTCATTCTGTTTACTGCTTCTAGCAGATCCCTTTACTTGATTTGATTATGACTTAAATGATGTCAACTTTACACTGCGTTTAGCATTAAAATGCCTCCCAGGAACACATTAAGCAATAACCCAGCCCTCTGTCATCCTAACTTTGTTAGGACACGCCTTAGCATTCAAGCAGTTGCCGTTCACTCTTTCAGAGGATGCTTTCACAGCAGCGTCAGCTAAAGGGACTGTGTGCCTGCTTCTCCTGCTTCACTGCCCAACGTGGCATTTTGAAACGCAGCTGACAGAGGCCTCGAAGGAGCTGAGGGCCCGGCACGCATTCCCTCCCGCAGCCTTTCCTGGGAGGCCGGCCCCACCGGCGGGTGACCRCCGCGCACAGCCGCAGTCAGTCCTGCCAGAGCTCATGTGACAGCGCTCCGACAGCTCATCTGCGCCCTGAGAAGCGACTCGAGCAGCTTGTTGCCAGCAGCTGCAATCCGTAGCCGACTCTGTTGCCTCACTGCCGACTCCAAGCATGCAATCGCTTACCGCTACCTAAAAATAGCCTGTTTGTTTTTAAATCTTGGGAAAAACAATTTGAGAATTAATCTGAAAGCAAGATCGGCGTGAAAGGCTGCTATTACCTTGGGCTCCCTTAGATAGCAGTGCATAGCTTGTGTAACGTCAGCAGCGTGGACGGCGTTGTGGTACGGGTTTTGGCTGTGGTAATCTTCTTGAACCATAACTAGGAACCAAAACAGAAGACAAAGATCCTTTTGTCTTTGAATTTCATGGCCACAATTGGAAATTGGGTTTAAAATACAATTTAGAGTTTTACAGTCAGCTGAGTTTCTTCAAATATCTCAACCGTGCAGAGACTGGTGCTCTTACATGGATGCTTTTAGGGAAAAAAAAAAAGTGTATGAAAGGATTTGTGAGGCCCGAGGGGATATACTGGGTTTAGTTCATAAATCAACTCTTTCTTGTCCTAGTGAAGGCTCTCATTCAGGAGTAAAATAAATAAGGAAAAAAGGGCAAACTTATTCACAACGGAGTGTAATTATTTAGGCTGCCGTCATAGGGGAGTAATATGTCATTAAGGCAGTACCACCTATTTTACAACAGCAGGGGGTGAGGTTCTGATAGCCTCACATCATTTATTATTTCAGTGACTGTAGCCAAAGGTATTCCTGCATCCTGCCGGCAGGGAATCAAAAGATTTCGGTATTTGAAGCAAGACTTTGTGTGATAATGTTACTCACATCTACGTTTCCATTTTAGCATACCAGTCCCTCTTGTTTTAATTTGTAGTGCTGGAACTGTTCCACCTGGAAGACTGTGGGCCAACCTTTTAATTCTCGGCTTCCACTAGCACAAGAAAATCATGGAGATTTGTGCTTCAAACTCATCTGTGCCTTGCAGCTCTGCCTGCAACATTAGATGATCTACTATAAATCCTGGGGCAACACCACTTGCGCAGAGGAAACTGGATGTGATTTTGCCCAAATTGCTCTCCTTGAAGAGCAAATTAATCAAACTAAGAGGTAACAGGCAAAACTGCAGTAGCACTACTCTCCGGCACGGAGTGGGCCAAAGAGCTTTGAGCTTGTTTTCCTTTCCACAAGCATCTGAAGTTACAGTTGGTAATCCTCTAAACCCCTCTTATTAACAGAAAGTCCACTGCATATCAGCCCAAAGAAGCTAGAAAAGGTTTAGAGATACTGTCTGAGTTAAACTAGGAGAATGCTTTCCAGAAGTGACAATTACGTATTCTTAAAGACGAGACCCTGCCTTTGAAACTCTCTCTGACAGTCTGACAAATTGGCATTCAGCTGTATTCAAAACATGATGCAAAAAGTAATTGATTTTGGCCAATTTCTTCTTTTGGTTTGCTGACAGCATGGGTCTAATATTTCTGTTGGCAATAACAGCAGCAGGGGCTTTCATCAACACTATTCAGTGTAGACAGCTTGATATAATTTGTTAAATTTTACACACAAGCTTTTAACTGCCCTGGGTCTCAGTGGTCTATTAGTCACTAAAATAATGACATTGCACCAGAATTTCATTGTGCCTGGGTAGGTTCTGCAATGTGTGCCTGTCTGTGTGGGCCTGCTCTGTCTGCCACGTCTCTGCATGACAGATTTTTTTTWAAATCATCAGTGCAACTGTGGTACTGGAAAGCTTAAGCCCAATACAGTCTTCTGAATCCTTCCCTGACWTAACAGGTACTGAAATTAGTACCTGAGTGACTGTAAATTGTATATTAATATATTTCATAGAACTGTTTTACTGAAACATTTGCAATAATTTCATTATTTTACATAAACATTCAGRTCAAGACTGTATTTTTTTATGTGTCCTCTTTAAGCTGTATGCTGATCTGAAAGGAGATTTTGAGGTGAGCATTTACTTACCTAAAAACCTGTGTAGTGTAACCATATCTAACTGGAAATGGTGAATAAGTCCATGCACATTGAAGAGATGACAAAGCAATGTCACAAGACTGTTTCCTGCAAGCAGAAAGAAAAACTGTTAAAGATTCCCTTAACAGTGAACAAATTACCTATGGGTAGTGGCAAATCAGGCAAGACTGAAAATCCTGATAGTTTTCTGCATCTCACATGAGCTTGGATGATGCTCATGCACATACTCAAGTGTTGATTCTATAAATTACTTCCATACATAATCAAGACTCCCTGTCGGTCTGTACCAGTGGAAAGCTATTCTTGTGTCCATATGCTCTAAAACTCATGCTTACTATTTCAATGTGACAAAGAAGGTGAATTGACATGGTGTCATCTGCAAATTTTATGATGGTATTTTTTGAGAACCATATCATCTTCATAATCCAAGCCTACTTCCAGAAACTACAGAAAGGGAGAACGGCTGTTCTAGCACTTGTTTGCTGTATTGTATTAGTTTCAGTTAGGTTTAAGATCAAAATTAAAATTTTTCTTTGGATTTTTTCTGTTAAACTTTATTGGAAAGTTGGCACTTGGTAATTAAAGCTTTTTATTTTATTTTATGCTCTGCATATAYTATGACTCTGCAAACATGCGAATAATCCACATACCTACCACGTAACAGGATCTGACAATACTAACAGGAACAAGAGAAAATGAGTTACAGCATTCATAGCCTCATGTCTCTCCTTACTGTTATGTATGTGCTTGTATCATGAAATCACTACTGACAAAACTGAGACTAACTGGTGTTACATGATCAATGATGTGCATCTGAATGCAGATTCACAACTGATTGATTATAGGGGTCTGGACTATGTTTCTACTAGGTATATTTTTAAGTACCCCTAGAATTCCCAGGATAAAGGAAACAGAATAAAACCTTCACAATAGACATGCAAAAAGTAACCATAACAAATGCAAGAGATTAGATTAATATGAAAAACATACTTTAAACACTACACTATAGATGTGAAAGTTATGGCGTAAGGATGAATATGTCCCAGATTATGATTACTATGCCAAATTTTTCTTCAGTAATCTACATGGAAAAAGCTTACTAAAAATAATTAATTAGGAATTTTTAGAACAGTCATATATGAGAATTCTTATAATAAAATTTGTTAAAAAATACTTACCATTTGTCAAGCGGTCAAACAAGAAAATGTCAAAATCCCACATTCCCACTTTGGATAGCATATGCTAGAAAACAAATAAGAAAAGGCAAATGACTGGTATGTCATGCTGTAAAAGACACTTAAATTGATATTCCACATTATTTAGTCACAGAATTGATTGCTGCAGATTTGAACTTCTGTTCAGGAAAGCTACAAAGATGCATACGAAACATCAGGCTTCAGGAGTGGAATGTAACTGTATTGCTTGAAATATCTCTTTTACTTTTAACTGAGGAAGTGTTGAACTTAATAAAAGGAAGAGCTTCAAATAGAGTCAAAAACATAGAATAACACAAAATGAAATATTATGAAAATATGCCATTTTAGGCGCAGTTTTCATATTGGTCCTTCGTATTGGAAAATGAATTCAGTATTTCTTTTATAGTAAAGCATAATATAGATGACATGCATCAGTCATGTCAATATTGCATTATATTTTGCTAAATAAACCAATACAGAAGAATAGCTTTTATAAACCTGGATACCTGGAAAATGCTTCTGTGAAGTACACAGAAGAATTTATCCTTCCTGCCACAAGTCATATTTTTGCAGTTGTCAGTTCAGTCAATAGACCATGTCTGGGCTAACTRTACGACTGATAATGGCAACTTCTGTGCATTCATTCTGATTTCTTAATCTCTATTCAGATCCATTCTGGATTCCTAATTGATTTCTAACATCTGACTTGCAATCTTCTCTTGCAGAGAGTTAAAAATCGTCTACGCAAGTAATCCTAACCCGGTCAGTGGTGCAATTTCTGTTAGAAAGTGCAATTCAGAGCATTTATAAGAGTTATAAAATAAAAGAGCTATATTTGAGTATAATGAAGTTCTTTGCAGTGAATGTTCCTCGTCTCCTGTTTTTTGTCATGGAGAGGTTGTCTGATAGTTGYTAGGTATCTGTTGAGGGAGTGCTGCATGCTTTGCATGAATTCAATTTTTGAATTAAAATTTTGAATTAAWTTTTTTGAATTAAATCGTGTGTCCAGGCAGCACTCATTTAATACAAGAACTCAGTTAGGGAGCCTTCATCATTTATTAAATATAGATTATAATTTCAGTTAACAGTGTTGAAATGCTGAACAGCTTCCCCTTTTGCTTTGGGACTGAATTTTTAAGGCTATSACATAAAAATGAGAAGAAGCCTACGGTATGTTTTGAGTCAGGCAGTAAGCAGAGCAGATCATTTTTGGAAGAGCAGCCATGCACTTACTTATCTGAACACTGAAACAGAGCTGATGCTCTCTGCARGATTCCTGTAAGAAATGCAGATGTGGAGACCTGTCTTACCCTTGCTTGCCCAAGGTAGTCCTCATCCAGTAAGTACAGAGAGGCTTGTGGTACAATTCCACGCAGTAACCGGGATGCATGGAAATACCTCTGAAAACTTAACAGTCTTTTCACCTTTTTCTTTGTGCCAATTTCCCCTGAGAGCGTTGTATCTGTGGAAAACAATTGGTAGAGAAGCCATGTAGCCCAATACCAGAGATGATGTTCTCGATTATTTAAGCAGCAAAGTAACAAAGCCTTTAAATATTTAAATAATTAATAAGAAAGGAGGAGAGAAGGAGGAGAGAAGGAGGAGAGAAAAGAAAGTCATTTTTGTTAATCCTCAGAGAAAAAAAAGCAACATTCTGAATGTTGAATCCCTTCAGATGAATTCCTACAGATATATTTGTTTAGCTCAGGAAGCAAGTATGTTCCACTAAACAGAGTAACAGTTYAGGATCTGGAAAAGCTAATTTCAAGATACTGCCTGTTACAGGCATACAATATAATCCTAGGTAAGTCATCCAGGGTACAATTTATCACCTAACTTTACCTGTCTAGATAGAGCCTAAAGTTAGGTTTGGGAAACTTGCTCTTAGCCCTCTGTGCCTCATTTCCCTGTCTCTAAGACTGAATATAGGCAGTACCTTGCAACCTCTTGGAAGTGTCCCAAAAATCAATGAAAAATGTGTTGCACCAGCATACAACATGATCATGGAAATAGTAACCTGAACCTTACTGGCAGGAAGATTGGGAAAAGTGTTTTTTCATTTTAATTCTTATGGAAAATAGGTATGTTAAAACTGAGGTACGAGTGAGTGGAAGGTGAAGAGGTTGAAGTAGAAATCATCCTCTATACGGATGTTTGAACCTCTAGACCTTCTGAACTGTCTCTTATACCACGCAAGAGGGGAGTTAATATCCAGTTTTAGACAGTAAATGAGACAAAGCGCACACACATATCCGTGCTATCAAGCCGGGAGCACGAGTGGCCCATTGTGAACGGACAGCAGAATGAATTTTTTTGTGGCCTGTAATAAAATTATAAACTCCTTGCTGGCATGCACAATGCAGTCTCCTCCCAACAGCTGCTCCTTGGAAGGTAACAGCACTTCTTCTTTATACAGGGTGGTTTCCAAGAGGACACTGATTGCCTTATGCACGGCTTTTGCAACAGAGTATCTGCTCTCACCCTAAATTAGTAGAAACAAAAAGGATGAGACTTCAAAATATAGATTCAAAGCACAAACATGTAACAATTTTGGAAGAAAATTCTAAAGAAAAAAGACGGAAACATAGCTTAATGATCCTATAGCATAGTCCGCAGTCCTTCCTTCCTAATGAAATACATTACAAAAGAAAAAAAATATTTCAGTTCTACACTTAGGAAAAGAAATATAAAAAGTGAACACATGCATTATTTAGTTACAAATAGAATATGTTACATTTATCTCCCTAATGCTGTATTATGAGAGAAAAGATAAACGTAAAAAATATATATATATAGTTTTATAGGGTGTCTAAATTAGTACTTAGAGTCATTAAATGACTGTGTTATTAGTAACAGTGAATGTGGGCTTCCTAAAACTGATCATGACTTAGCTCACTTCAGATGAACTTTTAACAGAACTTCATGTACAGTTGAGATGTCTTTATATTCTAGTCGGGTATGTGTTTTGGAAGAGAGGACAGAAATCAGACAGTTGTCAGAAGGTACTAAGATTCTACTTAATTTTAATCATAAGAAGAACCTTGTAAGAAATTGGAGGTTAAACACTATTTAAGGAAGAGTAATGGTTGCTTGAGATAAAAAGCTGCCTAGTAATTTACCAAATTTCTTGTCTAAATAGCTAGGAAAAAATAGCTATGGACTGCACAGTCCTCTGCTTATTCTGCTATTTCATGCTATGTATATGGTGAGAAATTGTTCTGCTATGAAATTAAATCAAAAAAGAAAAAAGACTTTGTATGTTGTTTTCAAAGATATTACTGTTCTGACAGGTTTGCTTTTTGAGAGGGAAATCATCAGTTTTTTCAGAACCCATCGATGCTTCCGTGTTTGATTTCTCCAGCAGCAGATGTGTGAGGTCTTTCTGTAGCACATCCTCCTTATGTAACCCAACAGCTACTAAGTGACACAAGTCAATCACAACAAARCCCAGCTTAGTCACACACTGAATAGGAAGAAATATTTTTTTTTTCCTCAGACCTGTAAGTCAAAAGCTCTTATTGGGCCCAAATACTTTATAGTCCACGAACCCCACAGAGTTTTAATAATACAACAGGCAGAAAATAATTTTATCACGACTTAAAGAGCCATGTGTTTTCAAGAAAGCAAACACTAACAATGTCACTACTGTACCAGCCTGAAGGCTAGATTTTCATTTATGGCGTGCCAGCACCTGCCTTAATTCTCTCACACATTTTAAAAGTTGGAACAATTTCATGGCCTATTGAACGAGTGCCTGGTAAGTGCTAACAGTTATCCAGTGACAGCAATGTGTGGAAGAACTGGTAGACTAGTTTTGCATTTCTTTCCTGTTTATAGTGCTTCTAAGAAGTTGCATTCAGTTTTAATTCCCAGATACCAAAGCACTCTTAAAATTAATTCACTTACTAAAATTGTCAGCTTTTTCTTGACTCCCCAACTATCCAAATCCCACCTTTGCCCCAAAACTATCCCTGTTTTCAGGTAACAAGGTTAAATTTGAAAGTACATATCACTTGCCTTTTGTGCACGAAAAATGAACAGTTGCTGCAACTAATTTTTATCTAAGTTTCTATCTTGCTTTTCAGTCAGACACAGATGACTGAACTTACCACCTACATTCCTCTAACTGGTCTTTAAAATCTATGAGTGGGATTCCTGTGGGCAAACTAAAAGGGAAAGCTGGGCATGTAACTCCAATGAGCAGCAGTAAATTTATTTTGAAGTGGGTATTTCACCCTGTGGATTACCAGGCCGTTTCAGTAGCACAGATAATACTTAACCAAACCACAAACACATCAGGCTGAAATGTCTAAATCATAAATGATTTCTGAGTAAGAAGCACATTTTGTGGATTGAACCATTACATTCATTGCAGTTGGTGTGCCATACTGCTCCGAAAACTGTCACGGATCTCAATTGAAGTTTAATAACTGGACTGACGAAAGACTTTTTGCTGCAGACAAGCAATTAATTACAATACATCAAGCAAACATTACTCACAATAATCCAYTGCCCTATATTTTCATTCTTATGAGAAGGAATTCATAATGTAGATGAAGAATGTTAGGAAGTGATTTTTCAAAACGAGGCCCTTAACAGAGCTATCCAAATCCCATACTGCAATCCATCCACATACAAACTGTGAATATTGTTTTAAATCTGTTAAATTCATGTTATTTTACTTAATTTCAGAAATAAGTGATTTGTCTACAAAACATCTAATTTGTCAACTCAATTAAACATTTGCCATGTCCTTCAGTTTATTACACCATCCTCAACAGAATGCCTCATTTTGATGGTGTCTTGCATACAATGGGACTGGGACTCTGCCCCTCTTTGAGCACAATATGCTCAAACCATTTTATAATGACAATTTTTATTTCCATTTCCCACGCTGAACAAGAAAGAAAAACTCAACAGTATGACACTGAGAGAAAAACAGGATGCCTAAATAATAACGGGAGCCAAAAATAAAGCTGCTCAGAATAAATGCTCAAATTCTGTCCTCAGCTCAAGAATTATATCAGAATCTCCCAACAGCAAAGACCTGTTCCTTGCACATAATGTAATAAAATGAATTGCAAGAAAAATAATCAAAAATATCTTTGCAGATATCACTGAGCATCAGTCTTGAAAATATGCATACTAAATTTAAGCTTTATTATCTAGTTAAGGGAAACAAGCAGCAACGCTTGTGTGGGAAATATTTAGTAATTATGTGCAATTTTGAAATGAGCTTCAAAGATGAGTAAGAATGTCTTTTGATTATACCCATAAAAACTCCCTTGTAAACTGTGCTTATCTTCCATAATTGTGGCAACTTCTGAATACTTTGTTTACCTAAAACACCACCAGCCGTATCTCTCAAAGATGCACATCTTCCTGCCATATCGAGTTACTGCCCAACACAATAGCCTTTATTTTGTATACTGCACAGAACTGTTGTATAAATCACACTCCTGCATCCACGGAAGCATCCCAACAAAGCACTGCCAACAAAGCTTAGCTGCTACCTCCAAAGACGCAGGCCACTCAAGCTGGAGGAGACATGGATTTGAAGGCAGCACAAGCAGTTTCTACTGGGCCACTGGATTTTAACACCATGGATGTTCGCTCTCAGATCRCAATGTGGACACTGCCTATGACCCGCAGGAGGTTAAGAAGTTCCAGGAATGAATGTTTTTGTCCTCGCTCCTAACAAAGAACCTCCAGTTAAGCATATCTGCTTCCCTTAACACGCTATACGGATCTATGCTCATTATCCTCACACCCTCCCTTCCTTAGTCCAGGGTCGGAGGTTTCCCACATGAGGAACGGCTCCCGGCTTTCCCTTGGATTTCCTTGCCGCTGTGCCGGCATGTGCCCACATGCAGTGCTGGTACAACAGCTATGGAGGCTCTGCTAACAGTGGTTAGCATTCAGAAACAACCACATAAATCACATTTGTACAAGGATGTGCTTAGCTCTGCACCAGACATCCATTACATTGTTATTGTTCCCTTAAAGTAAACAAACTCAGTCCGGCATTCAAATAAGGCCTACGAGTTTTCCTTCACGGCATCCTCTTTTTATTTTATTGCACTTCAGCGTACAATAAAAACAGGCCATTCGGCAGCGTAAGTGGATAACAACAGGCTTATTAATTTTCCAATAGCTAACTGATTCAGAAGCAGGAAATGTTTTTGCTATTCTTCCCACAAAAGGGATGCAGAACAACCCCAACACATATAAATCAGGTCTTTAAACACCTGCCTTAGGCTCATACAGTTTACAGCACCCTCTCCCCAGCTCCTGAGGACTTGCTGGGCTCATCCACAGCTCTTCAAAGAAAAGCCCAAAGAATCAGATACGACTGGTGCAGAAGTGCTGGAAGATAACGTGAGAGGTTCGATCTGACAACGGAAGAAAAGTTACTGTCCAGACAGTTTGTAAACAGAGAGGCCTCTAGTAAGCAATTTGAAT